GAACTATGGTTAGTACTCAGATTACCGAACGGATTCATTCCATCAGTAGCAAGTCCAAGTCTAAGGTTTCTCGACTCTTTGCCAAAATTTGGAAACAAATAATCTATTTTCTTCCATTGCAAAGAATCAGCTACATGACGAATTTGTCCATCATATTTTCTTTCTTCTGCATGCCATCTAAGATTCTTTGCATCATCTGCATTGGCGAATAATCTCTTGAACCTTGAAATTATTGGTAGGTACCATACCACTTTCGCAGGAGGACCCTTTTTTACCACCTCATCATCAATTGACTCACCATCTTTCTTTTTGTAGCGTGAAGCCTTACACTTTGGACAATGATTATACTTTTCATACTCTTTTCTGTATAATATGCAATCATTAGGGCATGCGTGTATCTTTTCATACTCCAAACCCATTGGACACAATATTTTCTTCGCCTCGTAATAACGACTTGGCATTACATTACCTTCTGGAAGCATTTCGGTCAACAATTCAAGCAACTCGGTAAAACTTTTGTCAGTCCACCCATTCTTTGCCTTCAGATTAAATAATTTTAACACGGCTGACAGACGTGTAAATTTTTTGCATCCCGGGTACAATGGTTTATCCTTGTCATTGCATATAGTATCATACGTATGTGCCCTCTTAAACGAATCTTGTCCAATATCACGCATCATGTCTTCTAGACGATCATCCATTTCTACACTAACACCATCTCTTTGAGACACGTTTGACTTTGCTACTACTTCACCGTGCCATATCCATTTTGTATAACTTTGACAAATCCCTACACAAATTAGATGATCCATGATTTCTTTCTTACTACGTTTTGGTTCTTTATTTGCACAACGAATACATGGACAGAGAAAAAGCGTAGGAAGACTTTTGTCAGCATTACTTTCAGCAAACTGTAGAAATTCCATCACTCCATGTTCGTACTCGTCACTTAATCGATTAGCTCTCATCCAACTACGATCCATAACTATGTTCACACGGAGGAAGGTCTGACGAACGGTGTGTCCGCGGCTGTGCTACTTCACGGAGATTCCGAGATTGCAAGTTGCGCTGCTTCGCGGAGAAAGACAAATAGAATCAAATTTCAATGGCAAGGTGATAACTCTATTAAGTTTGATAGGTTAAAGATAAACAATGTGTTTCTGAGAGGACCATTAATTCTTTTGTCATAGGTTTCTAAATTTTCCGCTTCTTTTATTTGGTGAGCATAAAAATAGGAGAAAGGGATTCAAATATAATAGTATAATAATAGTAACAATAATGGAACAAAGTATAAAACACATGAGTAACAAAGTGTAATTTATATGAGGCCAATGATTAAACTATTTTTGGCCAATGATTAAAATATGAGGCCACTTTGTTATTTTCAATTTTATCTTTTCTTCTTCAATTTTAACTCCTTTGATGTTTTAATCGTATTATATATATTTTTTTATTTCTTGTTAGTAATAATTTTTAAATCAGTATATATAAACACTACACTAACACAAAGACACTCTCTTAAATTTTTTTCAAAACCTTGTCCATATGTTTTTCTCAAACCATTGTTCTTAACAAATAAAATATCCAATTATTTTGAAAAAACACATTTCTCATTTAACAATTTATTACTAATTGTTATTATTTTTACACTTTGCACCACTAATACATAACTGATTCTCACTGGTTTCCTTTTCTAATAATTTCAAAACGATCACCATATATTCAATTTTTGTCTCAGAACCTGTAAATACTTAATAATATAACAATCTTCATGTTTCACTCTTCACCATCATGATCATGAAATTTCACACTGCACAAACACTAACATACACCATATTTTCTTGAAACAAGTAGCTTGTTGCATTAGTTAAAGTTACTAAGTTTAGTATCTATAAACATGTATAACTTTATCTTAAGGAAGAACCATAGAAATTTAAACTATCGTATACTAGCCAACTGCATAATATTGATATGTAATGTAACATAGCGTAAATGCATAAAAAATGCTGAAATTGTAATGAAAAAAGAAAATGCAAAAAAGAAAAGAAATAGAATTAGAACGAACCCCAGAATGATTTGCAGAAGACGGGACCGATGAATCGGCGACGAGGAAGCAGTAGAATGGGTGTTGGAGGCGGTATGCGTCGCGGAAGTGGTGTTGGCGGCGACGGTGTAGGCAGCGACAACTATTTAAAATTGTTATCGCAAAATAAAAATTGATTCAAACATGAACAAACCCCTACAAGCAAGAATAACATATTAAACATGATAATGACATTGAAACTTCAACCAAATTAAAATCAAGTGAACATATTATTGACGAACAAAAATCTCATTCAAATTTAAAACAAGCGAAAAAAACAACCTCGCAACACGATCACAAGCACATTGACAAACCGAAACTCCATTATCAACTTCAACATACCGATGTCAAACTATAATTATCATATCATCAAAGTTTATCTTTCGATTCCAAACCAAAAATCTCACAAATGTATGAATAGAAATGAAATGTATGATCAGAAATGCAGCAAAACTTCCACTGTCAAACCAACAGAATATCAGCTATTCTCGCTCGAAAATATCAGACCCAAACAGCATATCTAACTTGTTTCAGCCAGAAATTACTTCAACCACTTGTTTTCCCAGAACAGAAACACAATTTAAACAAATTAGTACACTAATGAAAGGAAATCGAGATTTACCGATAATGACGAAATCGCTGTGATGCAAAGGAGTTTGCGACTGAAATCGACGCGGCGAACTGAACTGAAATCGCTTTACTAGCTGAGACGTCGCGACGTCGTGACAGTAGGAGGAGGAAAATGGGTCGGAATGGAAAATGGGTCCGCGACGCTGAGGAAAGTTCGTCGGAATGGAAAATGGGTCGCGACGTGGTGGAAAATGGGTACTGAGATGAACGTCGCGGCGAACTTGACGTGACAGTAGGCGGAGGGAATCGTTGTGGAAAAATGGGTCGGAAATGGGTCGGAAAATGGAAAAATGAACAGTTTTCGGTAATAAAAGAAAATAGTGTTTAGAACTTTTTACATCGGTGGAAAATGTGACCGATATAAGGGGATGGCTTATTACATCGGTGGAAACTTCCACCGATTTAATAGGTAATTTTTTTTTTTTAAAATACGTCAGGCTATTACATCGGTGGAGACTCCCACCGATTTAATAGGTTGTTTTTTTTTTTTTTTAAATACGGCTTAGGCTATTACATCGGTGGAGACTCCCACCGATTTAATAGGTTGTTTTTTTTTTTTAAAATACGTCAGGCTATTACATCGGTGGAGACTCCCACCGATTTAATAGGTTGTTTTTTTTTTTTTTTTACCCACGTTTTTATGATTTTTCAATATGATTTATATATTATTCAAAGAATCACTTTTTACAATCGGTTTGTGTTTAGAACCGATGTAATAGCTTTCTTATATTTTTTTAACTTTTTTGTCACCTTGTTTCTTATTTACAAAAATGCCACCGTGTTTTTTTTCTGGAAATCTTTTACATCGGTGGATGAGATTACCCGATGTAATAGGTGACGAAAAAAATTTTTTCCCTTATTTTTTATATCATTGGAAATAAATACCTGATGTAAAAGGTTTGTTAACTGTATTTTTTACATCACCTATTTTGATACCCGATGTAAAAACCTTTTCTCAAATGTCTTTTTTTTAGTAGTGGAACTTGTTCTATATATTTTTTAAGGTATCTAATGACTTCTAATACAAGGGTGCACACAAATACTAAGAGATACCGTTCAATGTACATAAAAGCTAAATCAATTTCTAGTTTTGACATCATACAAAACATCTAAAAGAGAAATGCATCCCACATGTATGTGATTGAGTTTTACATTGTCTATGAATAAGTGGAATGCTAGATTTATAAGATAGATAACCTGTTGTGTTGATCTAACCTATGAAACTCCCCCGTCAAGTCTCAACAGTGGTATAAAAACTCGATTCAATTTTATGAGGGAGCGAGAGACGTATGTGGTATTGGATGCAGATAGTATCACACGAGAGAGAGAGAGAGAGAGAGAGAGAGAGAGAGAGAGAGAGAGAGAGAGAGAGAGAGAGAGAGAGAGAGAGAGAGAGAGAGAGAGAGAGAGAGAGAGAGAGAGAGAGAGAGAGAGAGAGAGAGAGAGAGAGAGAGAGAGAGAGAGAGAGAGATGTTTTGATGTGTCAAGTGTGAGTTAAAGTGTCACATGAATGAAAGAGTAGATTTTGTGTTACTTATAAATTAGAGAACCCATACACCTAAAGATTTAAAGTTTGGGATGGAGATGTGGCACCTCATTCTCTTGTAGTCATAAAACATTGATCTCGTTGTTACTTTTGTCTTTCTTGGACTCTCCAACAAATAGTATCTAAGTTTGATTCAGCTTAATGGAGGAGCGAACATAAAATTTTGTGTTGAATCCTGTTATAGAATGTTCAATCACAATTATGAAAGTTTTTTATTGTATTCAAGTGTGAATGGTTGAATCATACATTACCTTCAAATGAGCATTGAATATGTAAGAGATGTGACTCTATAATGTCTCCTTATTATTTCTGACTTCACTAGATTCCTCAATATTGTAGACTTGTCATTTAAGTTTTGGTATATACTTATCCATAGCTTTGTATCTTGCATCCTTGGTGCAATGCTATAATCCAATATTCCCTATGACTGCGCATTATTTTCCAATTTTCAACTTAGATTGATGTGAAGTGTGAACTCTGAAAATAAGTTGAAGGGCGCATTTGAGAATGAAGATGACCCACCACACGTGAATTCAAGTCGACACATTTACAACATTCCACTCTACCACCTAAACATTAATTCATTCATCACCTTTTTCCCACTTATAATGTTTTTATTTTTTCCACTACTTGTGTTGTGTATACAAATGAAACAAAAAATGCATTATCTTCAAATCCACATATCACCACAAAATAACATCACTCATTCTTTCATTTCTTGCTTCACTCACCAAAACCAATATGACTAGTCTCACCTCAAATCTAACCCTTATCCCACAACATGGCACTAAAAAACATCAACAAAAAAACCATAGTTCTTCTATTGTTGAGGAAATCAAAGGTCTTATTAAAGTTCACAAAAATGGATACATAGAACGACCCAATATTGTTCCATGTGTCACAGCTGATTTGAATCCAAATTTGAATGTGATTTCAAGAGACGTAATCGTTGACAGTGCTACAAACATTTGGGCACGTTTCTATGTTCCAACTTCTCCACAAAAAAAACTACCTTTGTTGGTGTATTTTCATGGTGGCGGTTTCTGTGTTGGTTCTGCAGCTTGGAGTTGCTACCATGAATTTCTTGCTATGCTATCTTCCAAACTTAGTTGCATAATTATGTCAGTTAATTATAGATTAGCACCAGAAAACCCTCTTCCAGCACCTTATGATGATGGCTTAAATGCACTAATATGGTTGAAAAAACAAATTCAAAATAAGGCTGATAGTGAATTTGAATGGTGGACTAAAAAATGCAACTTTTGTAGTGTCTTCTTAGGAGGTGATAGTGCAGGTGGTAACATAGCTTATAATGTTGCCAAAAGGGTAGATTCATGTGAAGATAATTTTTTAAGGCCTTTGAATTTGAAGGGTCTTATTTTGATACAACCATTTTTTGGTGGAAAAGAAAGAACATTATCAGAGAAGTGTATGGTTCAATTATCTGGTTCTGCTTTGAATTTAGCAGCATCTGATGCTTATTGGCGACTGGCGTTACCGTACGGGGAAGGTCGTGATCATCCATGGTGTAATCCATTGGTGAAATTGGAGGAATTGAAGATGCCTATGTTGGTGTGTGTATCTGAGCTGGATATATTGAAAGATAGGAACTTGGAGTTTTGTGATGGTTTGGGAAGAATAGGTGAAAGAGTTGAATATGAGGTGTTTGAAGGAGTTGGACATGCTTTTCAGATTCTGAGTAAATCTGAGGTTTCTAAGATAAGAGTTGTTCAAATGATGGATCGTGTCAAATCCTTCATGTTGGGTCCTTGATTTATGTTTAAATCTCTTTGTGTATGTACATATTATACTCTTGCTCAATTTGTAAATATTGAATAAAATCTTGTTGATGAAGTTGTAAATGAAAAGTTTCAATAGAAATTTATGTTACAATTGTATAACAATTCTTTTCTTGAAACTTAATTCTCTAGCAAGTTAAGAAGTAGGGCTTAACAATCTGTCATTAAAATTGCATGGTTTAAGAGAGTCCACTGTAGTTGTGTTGCACTATAGTCTTGGTTTTAATTAGTGTGTATGAAATTTCCCTTTATTCTTACCTAAAGAATACACATTCTTAGACTCTCAGTTTAATTACTTTCAAATCCGAAATTTTAACATAAGTTATTTTCAGTTTAACTCATTTCAGATCTAAAATTTTAACATAAGTTAGACAGTCTCAAATTTTAAAATAACACATTATTAATTGTCTTTTTTTAATACTATCTCATAAAGAGAAATTTTATTTTAAGATTTGAGAACTCTATTCACAATATAACAAACAACAATAAAATTAGCACTGGAATCCAACATAATAGCAATGACTAATTTAATAAGAGTTCTATTTTTTCTTTCTGTTTTATCATTAATTTAAAAAAAAATTATGCAATGATTCAATGTACAATTTCATATTGTTTATAAAATTCATTGAATAAACTAAAATCACATATTTCCACGTCACTACGAGACCTGTTAATTTTCTTACTAAATTTATTCATAAAAATCTTAAACATATCAATTTCACAAAAATATCTCTTTTAGTGATGGTGTACAAATCTACCCCAATAGACTGGCTAAACATTGTCTTATTCAGAAGAAACCCAAAAACAAGATTCTTTATAATCTCTTAAACATGCATGCCATCCTTCAAAATCAAAGTCTTTTAAGTGGTGTGAGCATCTTCCGTCAACACTTTCTTATTATCTTCAGTATTCGTGTATGTTTTGAACATACACAATCTTCAATATTAGTGTGAGCATCTTCCGAATTTCATTTTTTGTTTGAAATAGTCAAGAATTATTCTTTTTGATCTTATTTATCAGATTCTTCTTCAATTCGAAGGCGGATAATAAGAATCTCAATTGAAAAATCTTTTGTGTTTGTGGGTGTTGCGACTGGTTTTTAAATGAGAGTCACCATTACTAGTTTTTATCCTAAGGAAGGACATCTAATAGGAAACCCTAATTTGTAATGACAGAGATTCTAAGTTTCAGACTGTATTAGACGAAAGGAAGGAATTAGGCACCTTTCATCTACCTTATTCTTAAAGATACAAGGTTTAGGTTTAGATTTCGAATAAAACAAGGTTTTAATTTTTAATAGGGGAACTCGCCACGATATTTGATTGTATGTGTTGTACCCCAAAATTTGCCCTCTCACTTATCAAGAATCTTCTCACAAGATCTTCTTTGGATCAAGACTGCATTAGAGTTGATCAACTCAAGACACCTCCTCAAGCACTGATGACCAAAATTAGGTTTTGAGTTTGCACAAGGATTTTTGAACTTCCAATGCCCCGTATGACTTTCATGGATCATTATGGACCCCCAAGACTACTCATGCCAAGTTTCAAGCCTTGGATAACACTTTTGATCAGTCAATTGAACAATTGACCTAAAAATCAGTTGTATTGGGGGAAAAGTCAACCATGGCCAATTTACAGTCAAACTTCGTAATTTTTTATCCACGTCAACATCTTAGACTCATATGTATCATTTGATCAAGTTTGGACCATAATTCCTCAATAAATTTGATCAAATCATCAAAAGGGCGAAATGGTCAAAATTAGGGTTTTGACTGAGAAAGGGCAATTTTTGATTTTTGACCTAGCAAATGATCAATTGGTTTAAGGCATGATCTCAAGAGTCCAATTGCACCATTTTGACATAATGACATGGTGTTTCCAGTGATTTTTGGTAAACAACCGCTAGTCTTCCAAACTATCGAATAATCTTTCTGACTGTTATTCAATTCCTCTGGTAACTCACAGGATCGACTAGATTGATCCTAGGATTCCTTGGACATTAAGGTTACTCTCATGATCGAACATATATTCATGGTTGATATTTGAGTGTTGTATATGCATTTGGCTTATTTCGATTTCTCTCTCAAAAGGTCTAAAGATGTAATCAAAATGTGCGTGTATGAAACTAAGTTGCATGAATAAATGTTAATGGTAAAGACATGTAAAATTGCATAAAAGTCAAGTAAATGATTTCGAATTATAAAAACAGTTAATGTAAAGGATTTCTGGAACATAAAAGGTTTGAAGTATGAAGAAAGCGTTTAATGCAAGAAATCTGTAAATGACTTTAAGTAAAAATATGCGTTCGAAGGATAAGACTTGAAGGTAAAGGTATGGAAAATATGACAGTTTTCTGAAATGTAAAGTGCTTGAAATATGAAGAAAGCATTAAAATGTAAAACTTTGAAGAAGAGATTTCGAAGTGAAAATACTGTAAATGAGAAAACTTGTAAATGTTATTTGACATGAAGATAAAGGAAAGTGCTGGAAATGGTAAAAGGTTTTCATTAAATCAGAAATATATGGTGCTATCATACGTACATTGCTCTTGCATTCGTTTCCCTTGCCATGTGGTAGTTTGAATGTTACTGAGTATTTAGTACAATAGATATGACACACGAAATCCTAATACTAAGACTTCTATTTATACTAATTCGACCATAACGGTCTTGCTATAGGATTATGCCACGTTCAGAACATGCAGAACAATGCCTCTTTCTTCTTTCCGCGTGTCTCCAAATGTTCTAGCACATAAATTTCAAACTTCGAATGTCCCGCTTCCATTTGAATTTCAAATGCTTTGGTACTTCTCCGTTTCGAACGTACTTCCCAGACACAGCCTTGTTGTTATTTCGAGACTTCTTTAGATATGTTCCCATAATTTCCACTCGAAGCTCCAAGCTTTGACATGCTTATTCGAAACACTGCTTCTGCTACTTCGAAACATGACGCTTTACCTCATTTCGATCGAAATGTTTAATTCATTTGGCTTCTAATAATATTATCAAAATCTTCAGCCAACAAATTGCCCCTTTAAAATATGTATTTCGATTCCTCTGAGAAATACCTATTTTAAACATCTACACAAGATTTTGATGTGACTTTCGAATCATCGTAACATTTAATGCATTTGACTCCAGTCACGTCAATCATAGCACCTTTTGGATTCCTTAACCGCATGGAGCCACTTCACAGCATGGTGCAGTTACAAATAATGATTATCTTTAAATCACGCCTATTACCCATGTTAACTTTACGCCACCTCTTCATCACACCAACCCATGATTTCCACGTATCACACCCTTATTTAGTGGATGCTTAAACTTCCCCATTATAAAACATCACCAACTTAATCTTTTTCTTTTCTTTTCACACTCTAAATCTTTTACCCTCCTTCTCTCGTCAAAAAAAAAACCCAAGCTTTCAACATCTTTCAAAAATGTCTTCTTCTACTTCATCCCAACTCAAGAAAGTCTCCAAGAAGAAAGGAAAAACTGCAGGAACTACCATGGAAAGTAAAATCATCACTCACCAAGGTCAATCCGTTCTTGCCCCTCAGATGATTTCAAAGGAAAAAGAAATGTTGTATGCGTCACAGGTACTCATTCCTACCAACATTGCTGGTAAGAGGTTAACTTTAAATGGCCCTCTTACGGATTTTGAAATATTAAAAGACACCAGGACGATTTTCCCAGTTTGTTATAGTTTTAAACCCTTGTTTAACAAAATGGACGCCCCTAAGGCAGTAGAATCTTCTAGTTCAAATACCATAGAAAACCCAACTGTTCCTCCTAAGGACCCCTTTGTATTGGATTTTGTAAAAAGTAATTTTAAGCCATTTCGATTTTGCCCCACCTCTGATATTGCTTATCAAAATTGGTTCAAGAAAGTAGAAGCTCAGAAATCCCAGCAATGGGAAGAATTAGGTATCTATAACCTGATTAAGCTATCGAAGCCTGGTTTCACCTACAGCCACCCTCTGCTATTCGCGTCCCTCTATTTCTGGGACAGTACCTATAACACTTTCCATCTCCCAGGTGGAATGATCACCCCAACCTTCTTCGACATAGCGGCCATCACTGGGCTATCGCCAGTGGGAGAAACTTATATACCCGACAACGAAGAACATTCAAGCCTAATTGACTTCGAAGTCAAGCTGGCCAGTTTTTCCAAGTTTATCAGTCATTACCATGCTGAGGGGGACAATGTGTCTGACGTAGAGCATATTGCTTTCTTAACTCTGTGGTTGTCAAGATACGTTTTCTGCAGTAGATCCCTACAGGTAGCTAGTAGGTTCATTCCTCTAGCTAGGGACTTGCATGAAAATCGAAAAGTGTGCCTAAGTGAACTGCTCTTAGTTGACCTTTATGAAAGCCTGAGGTCAGCTGTTTCGAGCCTCAAATCCCACACCTCTAAAAATATTCTGTTGGCTGGCCCTTTTTGGTTACTACAACTATGGCTAAATGCCATGTTCGAACCCTCCTTATCAACCGCCAACACCATTGATGAGCAAGATCCTGAGATAAATGATAGGATAGTCGAAGGCACTAGGCTTCGAAGATTAACTCCCAATGACGACAAAGATGACTTCAAAGTCCAATTCTCGAAGTACATCATGATATTCTCCAAAAGGCACAAGTTCGAAGAGAGCATGGCGCCTTTTTCTTCGAGGGCTCATGGACCTTCTTGGTTCACCATGGCTCTCTCAGAAGCTATCAAGAGCAAGGAGATTCAGGATGTATGGAGAGCTTTTTTGCTACCTAGACTCATTTCTTCAAGAATAACTCCAGCCAAGAACCAGATTTTTCTCTTTGCCTACCAACCAAACTTTGTTTCGAGGCAGTTTGGCTTATGCCAACTGATTCCTGAACCTTTATTTCAAACTGAGAGTGCCATCACTTCTGGACGAACTTTCAAGGCACGGGAAGCCAAAATACAGCAAGAACAATATCAAGGCTTTGCCCAATTTGAG